TGGAGTCCACCAGGATGTATGCGCCGTCCGTCCGGATTATCCGCGCATGGATACGAGAGATGTACTTGAGGTCCGTGGGGGTGGCGGCCGGAGAGCTGAGGCAGTAGTCCACCACCTGCTGGTTTCGGCCGAAGAGGGTGATGGCCTTGTCAAAGCTTGAGAGAAATAAGTAAGTACAATGTTTGTAAGGTTACTGCGTGGTTCCGTGTGGTTTCCAGAGGCAAGTTTCCCACTGGCTTTCTGATTGTCTTTTAGATCAGGGTTCTCCAAACTTGGCAACTTTAAGACTTGTGGACTTCAACTCCCAGAATTCCCCAGCCAGCTGGCTGGGGAATTCTGAGAGTTGAAGTCCACAAGTCTTAAAGTTGCCAAGTTTGGAGAACCCTGCTGTAGATAGCTTCATTGAGGACAGATGCTGGGATAGTCTAATGCAGGGGTAGGCAACCTTGGCTCTTTTATGACTCGTGGACTTCAACTCCCAGAATTCCTGAGCCAGCACGGCTGGCTGAGGAATTCTGGGAGTTGAAGTCCACGAGTCATAAAACAGCCAAGGTTGCCTACCCCTGGTCTAATGAAACATCCCCACCACAATATTAAAAACAAAAATAGCTAGACAAAACCTCTAGCTCCTGTAAGTCCTATTTTTAAATAATCTATTCTGGGGGAAATGGCTGAGAGAAAATAACCAGCTGGAGAGGAACTCCTCTGGCTGGCTAGCAGACGAGGAGCAGGCCAGGGCAGGGAGCTTCTGCACCGTTTTTCTCAAAAGCTGGGAAGAGGGTCCTTGCCCCAAAGCTCCCGAGTCAAGGCAGCCGCCCCTGGGGCCAAGGGCAGAAGCAGCAGGGCAGGGGGCCAGGGGAAGTGTGGAGTTGAGAAAGGGATGGAGAGAGAGAGAGAGAGAGAGGGGGGGGGTTGGGATAAAGTTTGACTTCCTTCTCTTTTGCCTTCCTTTTTCTGTCAATTGAAGAAGGGAGCAGCATGATGGGTACAAGCACACCTGGGTATTCTATTTAAAACAGGCAGAAATGCGAATTTAAGGAGGAGGAACAGGTGTGGAAATTTAAACCAACAATCCGACCTTTATGTACAGGTAGTCCCCAATTTACGAGCCCAAAATTTCTGTTGATAAGTGAAACATTTGCTAAGTGAATTCTGCCTCGTTTTTACGACCTGTTAAGTGAACCACCGCAGTTGTTAAATTAGTCAAACTGTTGTTAAGTGAATCCGGCTTCCCCCACTGACTTTGTTAGAAGGGGATCACGTGACCCCCCAGGAGACTCTGCGACCGTCATAAATATGAGTCAGTTGCCAAACGCCTGAATTTTGATCGCGTGACCGTGGGGAGGCTGCAACGTGACCGTGGGGAGGTCGTACAGTAAGTGTGAAAAACAGACATAAGTCACTTTTTTCAGTGCTGTTGTAACTTTGAACGGTCACTAAATGAATTGTTGTAAGCCGAGGACCACCTGTATCCCGAGCAAGGCTGCCTGCAGACAGGGGGACAACGAAGTCCCTGGGGCGGCCATCCCCACTGCATGTCTAAGAGGGGCAGGGCTTTGGTGACACAGTGGTGGCCACACAGAGACATTGCCCTCCCTCCTTGGAGAGACCCCAGACCACGAGGCTCTGCCCTCCAGAGGGGAGGGGGGTGCTACTTACTGGACAACCTCACAGCTGCCGGGGGCGGGAGCCCAGGGGCCTATGCTGCGCAGGTGGCTCAGCTGGGCCCCCTCGCCACTCGGTAGGCAGGGCAGCGCCATCTCAGGAGAGTCCCCCTTCCTTCCACTCTGGCCACGGCCGGGCAGACGTGTGCTGTCAAGGAAAAGCAGAAAAGACCCGCTTGGACACCCGGAGGAGCAATTCCTGCCTGCGCTGCGGGACGAAGCTTCTCTTCCTTGTTGTGTGGATGCAGCCCTGGAGCAAAAGAAGCCCCGTCCTGCCCGCAACGCCTCCCTCGGGCACCGGCTGGCTTCTTGCAAGGATCTCCACCTTCCCACCCGCCCTTCCTGGGGTGGCAGAGTCTGAGGGCACGAGTTGGTCTGGCTCCACAGAGGTCCTACTTTAAAAAAAAATGGAGACGGCCACCTCAGATCAGGGACCAGCTTGCCTTTCCCAGGGAGACTGTTCCCACCCCAACCTGTAGGACCTATAGCAGTTTCCCCCTGTAGATCTAACTCCTGGGACTCCCACGAACTACGGGAGGAACCCTGCAGGTACAGGCCAACCCAGGTTTGGTCTGTTCAGCATGTAATGAAAGAAGCTGCCGTTTGATTCATCCACAACCCGTCTGCTCTCCCGAGATTGAATCAGTTTTATTCCTTAACTGCTTATTATACATTTGTTGTATATAGTATGTTTAGGTGTGTGTCATGTGTGTGTTTCGCTTTGAGAGCAGGCAACTAAATTTCTTCCTATTTACCCTAAAACAACCACCCTGTGGGGTGGGGTGGGCTGGGCTGAGAGAGAGACTGGCCCAAAGTCACCCAGCCGGCCTTTTACCAGTTGGGATGTCCAGAAATTATGGAATATCCACAGAAGTAAGGTAAGTAAAGGACAAAGAATATGTAAAGATTTTAACCAAGCTATGGGTGAACTGACAGGGAGTCAAAAGTCAAATAGAAAGTTGGAAGGGGCCTTGGAGGTCTTCTAGTCCAACCCCCTACTCCGCCCATTGCCAATCTGTCCATGGCAAAGACCTGGTGCTAATCGATTCCACTGCCAGATCTTAAGTGACCCAGGACAAAAACCTGATCCTGCAACTGATACTCTTGGGACAGTTGATGAACTGGAGCAGATGTGCGGTTGGCCGACCTGCTCCAGGTTCCACATCCCATTTCCATGGTGAAAATTTTAAATTTTTCTATGAAGCAGAGGTTTGTTTTCTCCTTCGTGTAATCCACTACCTATTTGTAAACATTGTGGAACTGAAATATCTTTGAATTCTATGTAGAACTAACTAAGAAATATCAACGAGATGATTGTCCTTTTTTTAAAAAAAAAATGGACATCGGTTATTAATTCAAATTCTGTAAATGATGAGTCTAGTCTTGTGGCAATAAAACATAAAATTTCCAATAAATCTATGTAGCTCTTATTGCTCTGATTCTATATTTTGAGTTCTTAAATTCAGTATTAATAACGCCAAACATTAAGTTGCCAATCTGATCTTTGGAAACTTGTATTGACCTTATTAATTATTTTATCCTGGCTTTGTCAGTTTGTTAACACTGCATTTGTGAACGTGCTACATTTCAAGAACCATTTTGCAATACAAAGCTGCCCTGATCCACTCCGGATGTTGAATGGAGCACAACTGTGCAATACTCTCTAGGGCAGGGGTAGGCAACCTTGGCTCTTTTATGACTCGTGGACTTCAACTCTCAGAATTCCTGAGCCAGCTGTGCTGGCTCAGGAATTCTGGGAGTTGAAGTCCACGAGTCATAAAAGAGCCAAGGTTGCCTACCCCTGCCTCTGGGGAAACCGAGGCATGTGATTATCAGCCAGCAGCGGGCGAGGCGCAATGAAACGTCTCCCCCCCCCCGGGTTAAAGGATGGGCCCCTCGCAGGCGGCGGCTCCGCTCCGGCGTCCTCGTGGCCTCCTGTCCCCGACCGATAAGGCTGGCAGCCGAGCGGGCAGAGCTTCCCGGCCCCTTTAGCTGCGTCAGCCCGGCGCCTCCTGCAGCCCGCATCAGCGGCTGGCCGGCCGGCCGGCCGGCGCAACCGCCCCGAGAGCCACGATCGCCTCGTCCGCGCAGGACTGGAAGGCGCCGCGAGGCTCCAAAAAGGAGCGAGAAGCCGGGCACCGACAAGTGAAATGAACCGGAGCCGGAGCTTCTCCGCTCAGGCAGGCCCGAGGGAAGGGCCAACCGCCCCGGGGCTCTGCGGGGGATCCGGGGGTGACGCACTCCGGCCCCAACCGCGGATTCCAACTCCCCGCAACTGGGGGAGAAGCCGCCCCGGCCCCGCCGCGAGCCCCAGCGCCCCCGGCCCCGCGGGGCCCCTGCCCAGACCTGCGAGATGGAAGGGGCGCGGGACCTCCCGGGAACAACGCGCCTGCCTCGCCTGCGCCGCGCCCTCCGCCTCCTTTCGCGCCAAAGCCCAGGCCCCGCCTACTCGCCCGGAGGGAAAGCGAAAGCGAAACCCGGGCCGTCCTCTGCGCCTGCGCGCGCCGCCCCCTCCCCACGCCTCGCAAAAGCTGCAATCGCGGCTCTGGGCGCCAGGGGGCGTCGGCCGAGGGTCGCGCGCGGCGGCGGCATTCCCAGTGCGGCCGCAGCGCCCCCGCCAGGACTAAGGCGGGGTAGGAAGCTTCCCTGCGCCCGAGGAAGGTCCCGGTGGCTCCAGCCTCTCCCGGGGCTTCGTGGCCTCTGCGCGGACGCCGCTGCAGCGAAGCAGGTTGCACCGAGGGCAGGCGCCCCTTTTGCGGACTCCCGTTGCTTAGAAAGACCGGCTGGGAGGCTCGGTCCGCCCCTCCCTTTAGGAGACGAGACCCCCCATTGAGATGCTAACAGGCTGGACGACCCCCGTCCTCGGGACCCATTTCTCCAGCCTCTTTCCTCCCGGAGCTGGGGGGGGTCTTGTGCAGCGCAGCACCTGGAGAGGCTGCGGAGGACCAGCCCAGGTGCCAGGCACTCCGCACCTGCCTTTGCCTGCGCTTCCCCTGGGCCCCTCTCCTCCCCAGCGCCCCCCCCCCTCTGCGGGTGACCCACCAAACAGCTGACAAAAGTTTCCCTTGCAAAAAGTACAGTTGGCATCTTTTCCTCTTTATTGGTGCTTTTCCCTCTCTCTGTCTGGAAATCTTATCAGATGTCGTAAACCAGGTTCATCAGTTTAAACAAATACAGTAAAACGCCTTCGGAGAGCCTCTGATTATCGCTACCAGCTTGTTTCTATCTGCCAGGCTGGTGCCGGCTGGCGCTTCAGCAAGGGCCCCCCCCCCCATCTGCTTCCTGCCCTGGAAGCCCCTCGGCTCCGCCCGGGGCCTCTGCCAGCCAGCCCTGCCTTCAAGGGTAGCTGTCGGCGTAGGAAAACTTTGGGATGAAGTACTTGTGCACCAGCTGCTGCATGGCAGCGAACGTCCTTGGCGATGCCGGCCTCCTCCGGAGGGATGGGAACGGCTGCAGGGTGATCTTGGGGAGCGGAAGCTTCAGGAAGGGGACGAAGCCTTTCATCAGATAGCGGGGGAAGACGATGGGGAAGCAGCAGCCTGCGTGGGAGGAGGGAGACAGCAGGGAAGGAAGGAAGGAAGGAAGGAAGGAAGGAAGGAAGGAAGGAAGGAAGGAGCATCACCCTCCCGGGCCGGAGACAGGCTCCTCTCCGGGGCCAGCGTGGTGATGAACCAGAGGCAACAGCGAAGAAGTCGAAATGGCTGACCGACCAAAGCCAGCTCTACGGGCAGATCAGCATTTACAGGGTGGCTTTCGACCGATAGAGGAGAACTCTCTGGCTTTTTCTGCTGAAGGAGACACGGGCTCCCCTCCCTGACCAGCTGCCCAGTCCACAGGGGGGCTGGTGGGAAAATCAGAGGGAGCCACCAGCTGCTTTTCCTGCACTGTCTGGCATTAGATGGCACAGGCTGCACCTCCAGAGTGCAGCAGCAGCAGCAGCGCCAGGCTTGACCAGGAGGCACGCGGGAAGGTGCCACTCACTGTGCAGCCCTCTCACACGCCAGAGGGAGGAAAGGTGGGACCCCAATAGATCGATGGAGCAACCCCAGTACTCACGCTCAGCAACTCTCGTTCTCAGCATTGCGTTGGTTTCTCCTAGACGCAGGATCGCTCGGGACCTGTCCCGGAAAAGCAGGAGCTCTTACCAGCCCAGCGCAGTAGAGTCCAGCGACCGAGGAGGTTGGAGGAGGCCAAGTGGGCTCTCCTACTCCCTCCTCCCCCCCCCCACAGAGGCTGGCCGGATGCCACCAGGGGTCTGCCACCAGCAGAGAGGGGCAAGCCGGAGTGCAGCAAAAGGGGGCTGCAGCCTTACAGAGAGTGGCCTGTGTGCCCCCCTGCCCCTTAATCAGCAGACCCATCTGCTCTGGGACTTTTCTTCCGTCCTCCCGACTTGGCTTTTATTTCATCCATGAGAGGGACAGGCTCAAGCCGTCCTTCGCAGCGCTTTCCCTCTTATCCCAGAACCATCCCAGGACAGCCTCCGGGTGGGTTGGCTTCCTCCTCCATATTGGAAACTGACCAAGGAGAGAAGCAACTTAGAACTAAGGAGAAACTTCCTGACAATTAGAACAATTAACCAGTGGAACAACCTGCCCCCAGAAGCGGTGAATGCTCCAACACTGGAGGTTTTTAAGAAGAGATTGGACAGCCAGGGGGTTGGACTAGATGACCTCCAAGGTCCCGAATCTGTTATTCTGTTATTCTTTTTTCCCTTCCTTCCTTCCTTCCTTCCCTCCCTCCCTCCCTCCCTCCAACACTGGAAGTTTTTAAGATTTGTCTGAAATGGTGTAGGGTTCCTGCCTGAGCAGGGGGTTGGACTCGATGACCTCCAAGGTCCCTTCCAACTTTACTATTATTAAAAGTCAAGGGGGCAGCCAACTTCGTGCCAGTAGAGCGTTCGGCGTTTCCCAGATCAAGAGCACCAGGCAGCAGCAGCACAGAAAAGTCTTCTTGTTAACAGAAGCACGGATGGATCCCAGCTCACTTGGCCAGCAGAGCAACTGGGGGGACGGGGGGGGGCTCCAGTTCCCCTAAGCTGGTGCCTCAAAACTCCTGCCATCCTGGAAGCCCTGCAGAGGCAGAGCTCCCCCCCCCAGCGGCAGAAGCTCCTGGCATGCCCAGACCCTGAAGCGGGCACCTGGGGCACAGTTTGCTCAAATCATATAAAGTCGGAACTTACTTCTGAAGAGGGGGCAACGCCAAGACCGTGTCCCGGGGGGAATCTGCCCTCAAAGGGACAGCCTCTTCCAGCTCCTTCCGTTCTCTCTCCAGCTGCTTTTCCGCAAAATGCTGGATGGCATCAATGGGGCGAACGGGCTGAAGAAGGAGAGAGAGGAATATGGCCGCCCCAGGTCAGCGGGGCCCAAACGGAGCCAGCTGCACTTGGAGCGTCACTGAGTTTGGGCCTGGGATCACAAAGGCCAACGAGGCAAGGAGGCAGAAACAGGAAGCACAAGAGCTGGTGCATTCTGAACCTAGCAGAACTTCAAATTACTCTTCAAGGGCAGCCCAATGTTGGGTGCATTACAGTAGTCCAGATGGGAAGTGATCCAAGGTGTGGGTGACTGAGAGCGTGGGTGGGGCTGTGCAGGAAGAATATGGAGGGCATGGTTTTATGGCAGGGGTCTTCAAACTCGGTCCTTTTATGACTCACGGACTTCAACTCCCAGAATTCCTCAGCCAGGCACGTCCGTGAGTCATAAAAGGACCGAGTTTGAAGACCCCTGTTTTATGGTTATCAGGAGTCCTTGGTGCTCTCTGAACTTCGTTGTTTTCTTGCAGACGTTTCATGACCCAACTAGGTAACATTATCAGCACTGATGATGTTGCCCAGTTGGATAATGAAACGTCTGCAAGAAAACTAAACTCTAGAAAGCACCAAGAACTCCTCATTTCAACCCTGCGCTACAAATATTCTCCTATATTGGTTGATGGTTATTGTACAGCAAATACAGGCGTAATATGTTTTTTGCCCCTCAAAATGGGGAGGGGGGAACTCTGCTATTGACGTTCAGGAGTCGTGATCCTGAAGGCTCTTGCTTTGCGAAAGGAGTTTCAACGGAGCCTCCAGCTGCTCCCACAGGGATGTACCCAGGAAGGGTTCAGAGCAGCCCCCTCTTCCCGCTCACAGCACGGACCACCCAACCATATTCCAGCCCGGCCCAAGGCCCCTGCCATGCTGGGCTGTGTACCATGGGTGGGCTTCCTGTCAGAAAGAGAGGGTGCTAATGGGCCCTTGAAGCAACAGGAGTATCTTGAGGGCCAGAAGAAGAGGTAGACTCACCCTTTGGTGGTCTTCCGAGCTGGACTTCCCCTGCCGCTCCTCCTCGCTGTCCATCTCGTCCTGAGTAGGAAGACAAGATAGTAAGAGCCCATCTTTGCCGTTTTTCATCCCCTTCCGACAGCCAGTTGGAGATGCCAGGTGGAATAAAGGAAGCCCCCTTGGGTGGGACAGGGCCATCACCCTGGACAGCTTGGAAAACAACGGACTCTGTTATGGTGGTCCAGAGCACCGTCGGGTTAGGCATAATCACGGAGAAAATCTAGAACGGGTCTTCAAACTTGGCCCTTTGATGACTTGTGGACTTCAACTCCCAGAATTCCTCAGCCAGGCACGCGGCCAGGACCCCACATCTCCTCCCACGCTCTCTGCCCCAGCCTCAAAAGGGAAGGCCAAGCCTTACCTTGTGGACAGCCTTGGCCCCCTTTCCAGCGATCTTCCTGGCTTTCTTGCGGCTCTTCTCTGGCCTCTTCCTTTCCAGGGTCAAAAGAGTGGTGGTCTGCAAGTTCAGAAGCCCCCAACTCAGATGCTTCTATGTAAGTGTCAGTAAAACGGTCTCTATATGTGGCTGTTTCCACAAGAGACCCAGGGAGACGGTCTCTTCCTTGGGGACTGTTGCATTGCCCGAGGCTGGCTAATAAGGGGGAGACCCAGAGAGGCCTCCTCGACCAGATAGGGGAGCCCAGCTGCACCCACTGGGCAGGGCTGGGGGTCTGAGCTAAAGCCCACCTTGTGGCCGGTGTCCAGGAAAAGCTTCCCAGAGGCGGCCTCTTCCCACAGGCGAGCTCTGTGTTCCTGGGGAAAGGAAAGCCACGCCTAAGCCACGTGGCCCCCTTTTTCAGCACAGGGGACCCCCACTCAGAACTGGCAAAGGCCTGAAGAGCCGCCCTGTCAGCTATGAGCTCGGGCCTTCCTCGCTGACCACCCTGACCAGAAGCCCCCGCCCCCCTTCACGAGGCTCCCAGCCACGGCCCATTCCCTGCAGACTGCCCTCCCCTTTGAGGGAGTCCGCTGGGGAATCCTGAGGGTGGGCTGGGTGGCCCCGTCCCCTGGGAGGTCAGCTGACCCACAGGGCAGAGTCCCAACAGCCAACGCTGCTGATTCCCTTCTCCCTGGTTCTGACATCTGGAGCAAGGAGCCCTCGGTTGGGCTGGGCTCCGAATCAGGGTCCCCAAGCATGCTGGAGTGGCAGGACCCAAACCCTGCAGCAGCCATGCTTTCCCCTCCCCCCACCGGCCACGGAGCAGTCATGGTTGCACCATGCAGGCATCTCTGGGCTCCCAGGGGTTCAGAGGCCAGATGAGCAGGGGGAGGGGCTTCCCAGTGACAAAGATTTAGGCGGGGGGGGGGCTTCTGAAGAGCGGCAAAGGGCAGCACCTTGAAAATCCTGATCTCCTCCTCCAACCATTCCTTGCTGTGTTTCCGCACGGCCTCTTTGGAGTCCTCCATACCCACCAGCCAGGAGTTCATCTCCTTGAAGAAAAAGTTCTGAGGGTCCTGAAGTCCCAACTCCTTGAACATATCCTTAAAAACTGCCCTGAGAGGAGGAGGAGGAGGAGAGCGAGAGCATTTCTTAGCTAGTGTTTAATATCAACACTGCACACACAAAACACACACTCCTTGGGTTGCCCCAACCTCCTGCCACAAAGAAAATAACATGGCTGCCCGCAGGAGACAGGGGCACTACCCAGTGCACAACGCTGCTGCAGGACCCACAGCAGAAGAGGGACTTCCGGAGCAGCCCTAGATGGCTGCCAGGAGCTCCCCCCCCCCCGGAGGTTCTCCTGCCCAAGATGGATCTCCTCAGGGATGCAGAGACGCCAGCCAGCCGTGGGGCAGCAGCTAAGGTGGTCCACCAGCACAAGGCCGCTCTCCCCATCTGCCTTCTCTGCGCTTCGGAGGGGGCTCGGTCCCAACCGGTCCTGAATCCCAGGCTCCACGCACCATGCAGTCGGGAAGCAGAGGGCCTCGGAGCTGGCTCGGCGGCTTCTTTCTCATCAGCAGGTAATCGCTGCCCACCTGCAGCCTGAGCTGGTGGAAGATCCACTCTTCCCTCCTGAGAAGATCCAGGCCGGACACCCCCTGCAGTGTCCGGCCCGACCCCTGGGAGCTTCCGCCCACTGCTGTGCCCGGGAGACAGCTCCTCCTCGGCCTGCCCCAGGTGAGAACCTGCCACGCTCATTCTCCTACGGGGCCCTCACCGGGCGGAGGGAGCAGCCATCAGGTAGCAGGTCATCAGCTCCACCATCAAGTCCAGGCTATCTTTGTCCAGGTGCAGGAGGACGCGCAGGGCGGCCAGGATGAACTTCTTCTGGCTCTTTTCCTAGAAAGGGGAGGGGGCGCCTTAGCCGGCAGCCTTCATGGAGGGAGGGGTCAGGGCAGGCCCACCTTCACCTCCTTTCCCACGCTGCTGGGCTGGGTGGCTGTCTTGGAGACCCCTACTGTGCCAAGATGTGTCACATCCCAGAGGGAGCCCAACTGGAGTATCCCTCCCACCAGGCCCCCCCACCTCACCCTGTCTACCCCTCTAGCAACCAGTGGCAGAGCAGCCTCACCTGCAAAGAGGGGGTGTTGCCCTCCTGATTCAGCACTTCAAACAGGGTGTACTGGATCCACCTCTTCGCCCGGTCCTCCAGCTGATCTTCCAAGTAGACGATGGCTCCCAACACCTCCGTCTTGGTGTTGAAGTCGGCAGTGAGCAGCGTCTCCTGCAGCTTCCTCAACAAGTCCTTTGAGGTCATCTCAGGGGGGATACCCTGTGGAGAGGGGAGCCCCACTCAGGAGGGGGAGGGGGAGGCAGGGGTGCCCTCCTTCTGGACTGACCCAGCTTCTCCTTCTCTAGCCCAGGGCCGGAAGGTACCAGGGATGCTGCAGGCAAATGCCAGTTTTGGGGGAAAAAACGGGGCTCAAAAGTTTATTATTTATGACAGCTAAGTAATAAATGGACTTAGTTACCTTCAGGTAAGATGGGCGGCCTATACATTTCATAAATAAATAATCAAACAAAACAAACACATTAAAAAATAACTTTTAGTTTACTTAACTGGTACAGTACTCGCTTAATACCTCCTCAAACTGTATCCGATCAACAGCATCCCATATTTACCACACATGATATACAGTAATTATGGTGGTGCTAAACTTGGGCAATACTTATTTATTTTCACCTATTTACATAGCTGCCCATTATACAGATGCGACTCTGGGCGACATACAAAGATATAGACAAGCATGTAAATAATTCAAGGCTGCAGGAGAAAAACCGTCCCTTGTGGGCCACCCGTGGGATCCCTGTGGCTGATGAAAAAACCACATTTTCAGGGTCTTCCGGAAGGTGAATGGAGATGAGGCTAAGCTCCCCTTGGGGTATGTGTGTGTGAGTGTGGTGGTGTGATGTTCCAGAGGATGGGGACCATTGCAAAAAAAAAAAAAGCCACTGCCTGGGTCCCACCAAATGGATCCCCCTTGGAGTCGTCCTTGTAATCAATAAAAAGCGGTCCCCCACAGGTAATTTGGCTCTATGCCAAAATACTAATGAAACACAGGCAAACAGGCACCCCCACATTCATGAGGGAAAGAATGCATTGGGCTTCCTACCACAGGTAACCCACCCCCTGAACCCTAAGCCAGCCCTTTGGCGTCTCAGGTCTCTTTCAACCCTCCAATTCACACAATCCGAATCCACGCCGCACACTGGGCTCAACCTGGGCTGCCTGGTTTCCAGTTCAGTGTAGCAAGCCAACATCGCCACTGTTTGCACACGGGTTGATCTCTGCATTGGGGCACTGAGGGGTCATCGGTGATTTGTTTTTCAGTATCTGGGATGGGACTGATTGAGTTCCCAACAGGTGCAATTTTTCTATCAAAAAAAGGCAAAAGTTTCCCCTGCCAGTGGGGTCTGGCTCTAGAGGGGGGGGCTTATTTCCATGTCCTAGCTGAGAGGGTCAGCATTGTCCAAAGCGGCTTCCGTGGTCATGTGCCAACATGGCTGCACTCCAAAGCCACAGGGAATGCTTTTACTTTCCCACCAAAGTGGTACCTATTTATCTACTCACATTTAACTGCTAGGTGGGCAGGATCTGGAGCCAGTCACAGGAGTCCTTGGGCTGCCAGCTCTTGTCTTTAACCACTGAGCCATTGTGCCCCCTTTTCTATCAACACAGTTCACTAACCCAAGGCAACCCCAAGGCTAGCCCATCCCCAAGGAAGACCGTGTGTGTGTGAGGACTGGAAGGTAAAAGACGTGGGGGCAAAGCTCCGTTGGTGATCTTGGGTCTGTAGGGGCCCCCCTCACCTCTGGGAAAAGGTTCTGGAACCACTCTTGGTCCACAAAGGGCAGAACAAATACAGGCACCGTCCTCGGCAGTTCTGGATACTGGGACTCATCCAGCTGAGTCAGGAAAATCCCAGGCATGCTCTGAAATGAGGGAGGGGAGGGGGGGTGTCTAACACTCATAATGGCACGGGGGCAGCAAGCACGGGGACGCCAGCCAGGGGACCTCAGCGGTTGGGAGAGGCACCTGCTTTGTGGAGGGGGCGTCTTCCTTCGCTGGCGTGATCCAGGACTTGGAGATGCCCTCCAGGGCCGCTGGCAGCCGTTCTTCCTTGGGCAGTTCCTCCTCATCAAACGTCCACATTAAACTGGCCTTTGAGGGGCTCCCCGACACCTGCCCCACAGAGGAAGGGAAGGGGTCCCTCACAGTCTCTCCTGGGAACAGAGCCCAGGGCCAGAGCACCCCTTACTGGTCCCCAAGGCTGAGCCGCCTCTCTGTGCCCAAAGGCTGGAGGCAGACCAGGAATTGGCAGAGCAACCACGCTATGCCAGCCGTACCAGGAAATCACAGGAAGGCTAAAATTACTTTGTTGAAATTGGCTAGAACAAGGGTAGGCAACCTTGGCTCTTTTATGACTCGTGGACTTCAACTCCCAGAATTCCTGAGCCAGCATAGCTGGCTCAGGAATTCTGGGAGTTGAAGTCCACGAGTCATAAAAGAGCCAAGGTTGCTTACCCCTGGGCTAGAATAACCGAATCTGGCAGATCAGACGGTGCTGTGTCGCCTCCCCCTCTTGTACCCCGGTGAATCGGAGCGGCTTCCACATAGAATCTTGCTTCCCGGGCCTTAAAAATATCCAGCCTTTTGCCCAGCTCAGGGGTATCCGATTCTTGGCAACTTTGTGACTTGTGGACTTCGTGCTGGCTGGGGAATTCTGGGAGTTGAAGTCCACAAGTCTGAAAGTTGCCAAGGGTTGTATATCCCTGACCTAGTAATGATACTTGCTCATTTCCATCAAGGTCTTCTGCCTTTCTCCCCACGCACTTTGAAGGACGCCGAAGAAGTTGCTCCCTCGCGTGACACTCCACCCACGGCCCACCCCGGCTCCCGAGGGTCCTCAGACCCCTTGCAGCCAAGAAGACCAGGGGCAGAGAAGCTGCCTCCCAGCCATACGGCCTCCCTACCTAGATGCCCGAGGCCGGCTGGCGTTCCCAGATGCTCAGTTTCTCTGCTCCTTGAAAGAACTGAGAAGATGGGATGAATTTCCCAGTGGGGGTACCCAACTATGCATATTCTGCAGTGGGGGCTGCCCTTGGGGGGTCTGTGGTGCCAGGGCAGACCCCAGGCCAGTCTCCAGCGCTGCACAGTGGCCAGCTCAGCTGTGGGTCTTCTGATGTTCAGGGTGATAGTTCAGGCCATCCGGCATCCTGCACGCTTCTCAAATCACACACCCCTCGCATGAACAGGTTCTGCACCCCAACATCTCTTGTGGCCTTTCATCATTTTGTCCCCCCTCCCTCCATTCCTTGCAAGTGGGGGATGCATTGCCCGAACCAGGTGATCTTTCAAACGGGGGGGGGGCTGTGTACCTGGCCAGAATCCTCCCAGGGAAGGAAGGGGCTGTGGGCATCAAACGGTACCTGCTGAGTTGGGAGGACAGCCTCCAAGGTCTGACAACAGCCAACAGGCTGCCCTGCGGGGGGCAGGAGATTCAGGCATGCCCCCCCCAATTTCTAAAGAAGAGCTACCTGGCACCATTTGTCATTGCATGCTGTGCCCAAAGGGGTCCCAGCCTCCCCGGAAGGCGCTTACCACCTGGGGGCCGATCACCTTCACGAGCCTCTCTGTCTCCAGAAGGTCCAGGGTGTGAAGCTGCTGGGCCACCACAGAATTGGGGATGAAGCCGGAGGATATTCTGGGCAGCTGAAGACTCTCGCTTTTGAGCTCCTGGAGACCAAGAAGGAGGAGACTCGGGCAGCCCTCCCAAGCCTTCCAGGCCCCGAGGCCGGGCACCCGGTTTGGCCCTCGCCACCTGGGCATCACCAAGGGCAAACAAGGCCCCCTCCCTCTGCCCGTGTGAGAGGATAATGTTCTCAAGGGGTTTATGCTGACCACTTGATGCTCACTTGAAAGACCCGGTGGGGGGGGGCTGCACAGGCAGGAAAACACCCCCCACCACAGAAAGCATCCCCATCAAGAGTCAGGGCATCCTCTTGCACCCCCATCCGTTCCCATAAAGCAGAGGCAGCACCCCAGGAACCCGGAACCCTACGGCTGCTGCAAGACCCGCCCCGACTCGGAGGCCTGACTTGAGCCCTTCCGACTCTTTGGTTTCACAGATGGGCACCCGGCTTTATTCTGCTGCAGAGCGAGTGGGGCGGGGGCCATAGGGCAGCCCCAAGTGCAGCTGGCAAGGTGAGCCCCAAAAGGGAAGCCACGAGGGGGTCCAAGTCATCCAGAGGGCTTCTTGGCCCAAGGGCCGGCAGTGGGGAGAGCATGGAGCTGGGGGAGCACCTGTGGATACCCTGCTGAGGATACACATGTGGGTGGTGGGCAACGCAGCCTTCCCTCTCCTGGGTGCCCCCTGGCTCAGCCTGTTGCCCGGTCAGGGGAAGGAACAGCAGCTGCCCCCGAAGGGTTTGCTCACCGCAAGTGACCTTGACCCCTGCGGGCTGGGGGTCCTCTCCGGAAAGAAGCCTTTGACGATGGCGGAGGGTAGGGGGCTCAGCGAACGGGAGGTGGAGGGCAGGTGCTTCTGGCTCTCCTGGCTCAGCTGCGATGACTCCAGTCCCTTGAAGAGGACGCTCTGGGTGCAAGACGCCACAAGAGGCCGGGTGGGTTCTCTTCCACACACCCCCTTGCTTCAAAGGCCACCCAGGACTCCCACCACCACCAGGAACCCCGAGCCGGGGCCCTACTTTGAAAGGCTCCTGGTGGCAGAGAGTGGAGGAGGTGAAATCACACGGGGGGGGGGAAGGTGCCACGGAGCACTGACCACTGAGTCTGTGGCCATCTCAAGAATCCGTCCACAGAGGTTTCCTTTAGAGCAGGGGTAGTCAACCTTGGCTCTTTTATGACTCGTGGACTTCAATTCCCAGAATTCCTGAGCCAGCTTAGCTGGCTCAGGAATTCTGGGAGTTGAAGTCCACGAGTCATAAAAGAGCCAAGGTTGACTACCCCTGCTTTAGAGGCCTGCAATGGGCCGGCCCCACTCATCTGGGGCTTGGGGAAGGAAGCCTTTGCTGGGTTCAAAATGTCCTGAATTTGAAATGACTTCATGATGCTGGGCCAGGGGGAGCAATCAGCAGCTGAAAGTCCCCCCAACATTGTGGGGGGGAGGTCTTCCCTCACCCACGCTGCCCCAGAGCCCTCCTCTCTCCCGCCTCGGGCGCTCACTTCCAAGTCTGGGGCTTCAAACACCCCATGGAGCCCCAACACCCGCAGGGCCAACCACAATCCCAGTGGGCACAGCTGGGCAGGGGTGTGTGTGTGTGGCTGCAGCGGTCCCTTACCTTTTCGCTCTTGATGCGCACGGAGGGGCTGGGGGATGAAGGGGTTCCTGGGGTAACCGAGACCACAGTTTCGAACGCTTTAACGGGGTGCTCCACAGGCTGAAGGGAAGCAGGCATCTTAGCGGGCTCTGGGCACGATCCCACAGAACCGCCATCCTGGCTTTTCCCTTTTGCCCAGTCTGCAGGACGGCCAGACCCGCTTCCAGCCACCCACGCTGACCTCCCCCATCCTGTGGCCCCCTCCTCAATCTTCCTGGGGCAGGAGCAGCCCCCTAAGCCGCCCGTCTGCTACCCAAACGCCCACCTCCCCAAGGAAGAGCGGGGAGGGCTCGGGGCCCCTTTGGCTGCTGCTCTTCAGGATCCTTAGCTCAAGTTGGGGAGCCCAGAAGATGGGGGGCAGAGCAGGCTCGGGGGTGGGCAGGTGCTGGGACCCTTTTGCAGCAAAGGCCAGAGGAACAGCGAGGGGAAGGGTCCAGCACTCAGAGAAACAGCAGCTCTATCAGTTGAGCAGCACTCCCCCCCCCACCCGGACCCTCACCTTGGGTGCCTCCTCCAGGGCCCCTCTCAGGTCTGGCCCGTAGCCTGGCCTGCCCGCTCTTGCAGAAAGGGGCCTGGTGATCTCGGGGGCCTCCTGCGTGAGGGGGGCTGGGGGAGCTTCAGCTCTCCCTGGGGAGGGGGTCTCCTGCATCCCGGCAGAGGAGGGGGCAGCGCCAACGTCTACCTGTGAGAAGCCAGGGGAGACTTTCAGGGCACAGCCTCGGCAGCGTGGGCTTCAGGGGCCCCAATGACCCCAGGGCAGCCCCCCCGCACTCTCCCCGCTTGCCAAAAGCCATTTCCCAGTTTGCTGATGGGAAATGTAATAAAATTTGGGGCTGGAAAAATAATCAAATTAGCTGGGCCACATTTTAATGAAAAATATCATAAAGATAGAAGATCATAAATTCGTCACCCCTCTTTTTTTGGCAAAGATCCCCAGCACACCCCTGCAAAGCTCCCCCCTCCCACAAATCTGGCCCCCAGCCAAGCAGACCCTCCTCACCTTCTTCCTCTTCACCTGGAGCATGCCAGGAACCGTAAGGGAGGAGGTGAAGCGGATGGAGGGGCTAATATCCTGTGGGGGGGGGAAGGGGGAGGAAGAAAGGTCCCTCTGAAAGCCTGCTCAGCAGGGAAGGGCAGGGCAGGGGGGGCACGGCACAGCAAACACCCTGCCTGGGGGGCTGCTCCTGTCCTCAGCCGTGGGGTGAAGAGTGACGCAGAGGCGGTGCAGGTAGGTGAGGCTGCCCAGGTCTCCCCCAGGGTGGGCTGGGGTGGGGGGAAGGGATTGCAGCCTGGGGGGCACCCCCAAGAGGGGAAAAGAGGAGGCCCAATAAGGGTCCAGACTGGCTGCTCCTCACCCCAAGGAGCCATTCGGGGCGCAGCCCCAGAGAGCAAAAGGCCCCTCACCGCAAAGGCTGAGCTGCTCAGTTTGAGGGTCCTGGGCTTAGCGAAGCCCCCCAGGAACATGTGGGAAATGGAGGGTTCCAGGAGGGCAGAGATGGGATCCATCCGGCCGAGGGATTCCAGCACTTCGTCTGCGTCGAAGGGATCCTTTTCGGGAATCTGGGGGGAGAAGGGGGGGCTGCGCTAGGATCCAGCCCACGGAAGAGCACAGCAGCCTGGGGGGGCGGGGGGGGTCTGTGGTGGCCAAAACCCAGATGGGGGAAATGGGGGGGCACCTTTTCTGACTCAGACATTTGATCAAAGGCAGAAACTTCAGCATACTTGAACCCAGGAAAGCCCCCCCCCTCCGTTTGACAGGGAGAACAGCTGCTCATTCTTGATATTGCCAGGCCTGGTCCTTATTCAAGGGGGGGGGAGCTGGCGATGATGCCAGGTCAGGATGCCCAGCTGGGTCTGCAGGGGCAGAGGTAGCCCACCAGAGCTGCCAAGTTGCCTGCCTTTGCCCGGGTGAGCGACTGCCCAGCCGTTTGCAGAGAAGAGACCCTCCCCCCCGAGGAGCCTATTGCAGCGGAGGGAACGTCAGAAGCAGCCGGGGGGGGGGCACCAGGGCAGGGGTTCCCTAGGCACAGAGGTGGCCTGGGGGGCTGGAGAGGAGGGGTCCCTTGGTGCCCAGGGAAGCCCACCGGCAGAAGGGGGCTGGCATCAGAGAGGGAAGGGCTAAGGAGAGGCTCTCGGATCAGCCCCCAGGAGGGGCAGGGGGCTGGGGCCCAGCGCCCACCATGTGCTCCCCCCTCCCCAGAAGCCCCGCCGGCCACAGCGCCACCTCCAGGCTGAGCTGCTCCTGGTAGAAGAGGCCCAGGTAGCGCTCAAAGGCCTCCTCCCGCATCTGTTTGGTGAAAGGCCGTTTCTTGGCTGGGCTGATCTTCCCTTCCTGCAGGAGCTGCAGGTCCCGATTCCTCTCCGCCAGCTGGGCCATGCCCTGCGAAGGACACCCGGCTCAGGCCTCCCAGAGCTGCAAAGCCCCCAGGCGGAGTCCCCCCCCCCACGGCTGGGGCTGGGCTGGGCTCCCTCTGCCGTCCCGGCTGGCTCCAGCCACACCCGGCCTTTGCTCAGCGCTGACTGACCTCCAGCTTCAGCTTGGCTTCCCGGACCTCCCTGGACTCCCTCAGGGCCACCCGGAAGACGCCGGACATGCTGGACCTGCAGGGACAGGAGCAGGGCCTCCTCTTCTCCTGGCGGCCCCTCAGCCCGCTTCCCCCCTCCCTCCTTCGCTGGAGCCGCTCTGCCACAAGGGATACTTCCTCACAGAAGTCACAGAGAGGGGACCCCCCCCCAAAAAAAGCTGGGAGGACCCCAGCTAGCAGCTCTAGCAAGGTCTAACCGCCCTGGAGGCATTCCGGGCTGCTCTGCCTTCCAGGGGAGCCACAGCAGTGTCCCCGTCACTTCCTTTCTGCATGGGGGGGGGAGTCCATGCCCCTTTCGATGCCCACCTTTCCCCTCACGCATCTCTAGGACTTCAGGACTTCCTGCCTAGAAACTGGGCCCCCCTGAGGCCTGGAAACCAACTGGGTGGCTCTATGCCAGCCCCTCTCCCTCAGCTCTGCAAAGAAGGTAGCCAGGGCAGGCCCTCTCTGGAAGGCCTGCCAGGAAAACAGCAAGGCTTGAACAGGAGCGGAGTGTGACTTGAAGGTGTGTGTGCACACACAGACGCTGGCACGCACATACAAAAAGAGCACAGACACACCAGGCTTTGGAACCTAAAGGCGCCCCAAGGCGGAGGACCATGCAGGAGCGACGGGGACAGAACCTGTGATGGAGGAGGGCCTCTGATCCGATGCTCAGGGGTCTAGCAAGCGTGCCCGGGGATTGCTGCCACCCAAGCCCCCCTTCCCAGCCCAGGCCCAAGAGCTTACTCGGACTTCTTCGCAGGCAGCTCTTGCCTCAAGCGACGGCTGTTCTCTTGCACCAGGGCCTCAAAGCTGGACGGGCTGATGGGCAGGGAGATATCCTTGAGGGGCTCCAGGAACTTTGCCCACAGCAGCTGCAAGAGGAGGAGGAGGAGGAGATCCAGAGAGGCAGGACCACCACACCTGTCCTTCAGGTGCCCAGAGCAGACCGGTCCCAGGATCCAGGCAACGGTGCAAGTCCGTTTAGAAAGGGGCCCCTGGGGGTGCCATCTGGGCCCACCTGCATCTGGTAGTAACTGGGCAGGTACTCGGTGTGGGGGATGACATACAGGTGCTGCTCCAGGCCCACCAGCAGGTCCCCCTTGTGGTTGGCGAAGGCCAGGCTCTCCGGGATGGTGTTCAGCTTCAGGTGCCTGCAGGTAAGGGGACTCTGCAGGTAAGGCGAGCAGGGCTGGGGCCCCAAATGGGAGACAGAGTGGGAAAGCACACAGAACCTGCGAGACCCCCCCCCGTTGTAAAGGAACCACAAGAAAGCACAGAGACAGCCTTAAGCCTCTTTAACGGTGTAATACTCACTACGGCAGGCAGGGTGGATGCAACCAGGCCAAGCAGAGGCAGCATTTGGAGAGCAGCCCCCCCAATGGGCTCCCCATAGCCAAGCTGGATGACCCACCAAAAATGGGGCACTCTGCACGGAGCCATGGGGGGGGGAAGGCAAGCAGGGTCCAGGAGGAGAGCTCAGCACTGCACTGGACCAGTCCTCAGGGAGGGGGACTTGGGCACAGCCACTCCCCTTTGCTGCTGCAGGGTTAGGGGATCAAGCTGTGCCCACCCGCTGCCCTCTGGGGACCAGGCCTTCTGCTCCTTCCTCCAATGGGGCCCTCACCGGAGCAGCCTGTTCTTGTGGTCCCAGATCTTCACCGACCCGTCCCGGCTGGACGAGGCAAAGAGCTTCAGGTTTGGGCAGCAGCAGAGACCTTGGAAGAGGACGTTGGACACAGTGAGAGGCCGGGGTGGGGTGGGGAGGGAGCTGAGACCTACCCAGTCCTTGTGGAACAACTGCTGCATCCCCTGCCCCCCCCCCCACCGAGGGCCCTATTGTGCACCTGTGATGTCATCCTGGGCGTCCTCCTCAGGTCCGTGCTCAGAGCGTGTCTGCTCCATCAGGTTGTAGTGGACAATGCTGTAAGTGACCGTTTCGGGGTCCTGGAAGGCCACCGCCAGGGTGTCTCCGAGGAAGCACATGTGCCACGCAGGAGAGGTGCAGGAGAAGGACAGGAGGGGGAGCAGGCACTCCTCTGCGTAGGGGAAGAGGCGCCACATCTTCACCGTGAGGTCGGTACCTGTTCCAGGCAAGGGAGCCCGCTTGGTCACCTGGGTCTGCCACTCCCTCTTCCCAGGCTGACCACCGGTTCCTGGCCTCTGCTGACCGCCTGAGATTTACTGAAACTACGCCTGAAGAATTCCGCTCATGGGTGGGTGCCAAGTGTGGCAGAATCATGTGCCCTCTTCCTATTGATGGGAACTTATCCATTTGGTGCCCTCTGGCCTCATCTTACAGGCTACAGGAAAGTGAATTTGTGTCATTGGCAGGTTTGTTAAAAATGGGGGAATGGGCAGGAAACATTTCGCTTCGTAGGAAGACGGTGGGCAGGCTGTGGGTGGCTGAAAGCAGCACCTATTTCTCAGGGCTGTGGGCAGCGCTTCTGTAGGCTTCTGTAGGAAGCTGCCCACGGCTTCCTCCCAGGGCTGTTGGTGAACTGGCACTTAACTGTGGGCAGCCAGTGAGAAGCGGCAGCTTTGGTTGCAGGAGCCTGGCGCCCTCAATGGGCTTGCTGGCAGACCTGGAGATCAGCGGGCACTCCTGGCTTGTTTTCCACAAATCGTCAAAGATGGAACAACTTCGGAGGGGGTTATGTAATACTGTCTTCCAGTCTACCGAGTGAGGCTGACGCCGGTCTCTCTCTAGGTCATTTCTGGGGAGGCCTGGGACTCCCTGAAGCTCCCTCCCTCCCCCTTGGGGCTCTGAGACTCACCTGCTGACAGGACACACATCTGTGTGGTGTACTCAGCCAACGCCGTGACACGCTCAGGGTTATGCGCCTCCACTGTGTACTGGGCTCGGCCCAAGAACCAATCTATGACACTGAGGGAGCCATTTTTGTGCCCCAGAATTGGCAGGAATCTGGCATGGAGAGACACATCAAGGGGACAAAGGTGTCCCCAGCTCAGAACAGTGGCAGAAGAAGCTTTGCCCATCCCCTTCAATCCTCTCAACGCCTCCCAGCCTGGCCTTCCAGGGTGTTTCCCCAGCCAAGAGTTCCAGTGCAGGCGCTGTTCCCTGCAGTTCAAGAGCTGTCCGGAGAAGCCAGGACAGGTCCTCCCAGGCAATGGCTTGAGAACCCCCCCATGCGGACCCCACAGGACACAACAACCAGGCTGGGCAGTAACTGCGGACTGGAACGAAGGGAGCGAGGGCCAGTGCTTCAGAGGCTGCCTACCTGTTTCTGTCCTGCATGTTGATGGTGGATTTCTGCCACTTCCTCCTGTAGCCTTGGTTCTGGGTCACTTCCAGCCACGTGGCGTACGCCTTGTCTGGTTCCACCATGTGGCTGTAGAGCAGGACGCAGCAGGGCCTGGATTCCCAGAGGCTGCTGCTAAAGCACTGCTTCACCCTCATGTGGCTGGTGGCTGCGTTGACGCGCAGCACGTGGCCCTGTTGCAGCAGCACGAAAAGGGTCTCCCGGGGCAAGCAGTAGGCCACTGCCCGGGCTGGGGAATACTCGTCCAAGGAGAGGACGGACACAGGCGCGCCACTCTGGGCATCCAGCAGCTGCACGGTGGAGTCCTGGCACAGGCAGAGGACGCGGGCAGGGAAGTCGCCCAGCAGCCTCAGGTCGATGCAGCTGAGCTGCCTGGCAGGGGAACCCAGCACTGTGTAGAGTGAGTAGAGCTGATTGATTTTCCAGAGGTTGAGGCTGCAGCCCGAGATGGAGAAGACGTGCGAATTGGTGTGGGTGTCCAAGGACTCCACAGGCTCCGAGACGTGGACTTGGTCTACCTGGTCAATGGTGTTGAGGTTCCAGGTGCGGATGGTCCCGTCTTGGGAGGCAGAGAAGATGAGGGGCCGGTGAGGGTAGATGGTCACGGCAATGACTGGAGCTGGCGGCAAAAGGGGGGCAGCAAGAAGAGGAAAGGTCTTCTCAGAGCTGGAGACCTTTTCCAGAGTTGGGGTGGGGGAATGACTGCTCAGAGGCCCTTGGGGAGAACGAGCCATAGGCTCAGAAGTCGAGAGCAGAGGAGCCCGGCTCCTGCCTTCAGCAGAGGACAGACAAACTCAAGAGATCCAGCTCTTCCACCATGTACTTTCAGGCTGGTAGGAGCTTCGCCTGTTGAACTTCTAGCAGCCATGCAGCTCTTTTGAAAAGGAAAGGGCAACACCTGTGTCCACCTTGTCCTCCTGTCCATGAGAAGGAGGCAGGAAGAGCAGGGATGGGGGGGGCTCCTCCTGCTCATCCAGCGGGTACCTGGGCAGCTGAACTCACCGGTGTGCCCAACAAAGACGATCCGAATGTGCCACTCCTTGTCCCACACCTTGATGGTGGTGTCCCGTGAGGCTGTGATTACGCAGCCAATGGCTTCACAATAGGCAAGGTCTGTGATCTCTCTGCAAAGAGACACGGGGGCACCTGCAATTAAGCCCCCCACCTGTCCCTGAGCAGGAGGGCGCCTTGTTCGTGCCTAGCTGGAACCATCAGCACCTGGCCCAAGTCCAAGTCAGCACTCCCCCTCCTTCGCATACACAGCAGCCCCAGAGGGGCAGGGGCGGTGCCCAGATCTCTCCTTCAGCCCCACCAGCAGGAGACACTGGGGACCTGGCAACGAAGCAAACGGCAAGAGAAGAAAGGCACCTCTGGGTGGGCATTCTGTCCTGACCTTGCTGGGGCCTTCAAGAAGCACTGGACCACAGAGCGCTGAGCAAAGCCATGGGGGCCACAGGGGTCCCTCCCCAGCACGGCAATCTCACCTGCTATGGAGCTTCGTCCTGAAGGCTAGGAGATTCCCCCTGGAGATGTCAAAGGTGGCCACGCCGGTGGCGCAAGAGGCAAAGCAGCGTTGGGGCTCACTAGTGCTGTCCGTGTCCAAGACGAGGTGGAGAAAGAGGTCACTGGGTCCCAGGCCGGTGCTTACGGTGGCTCGGCACTGAAGGCTGCGGAAGCCGTAGCGGAAGCTCCAGATGGTCAAGTTCCCGTCGCCGGCAGTCACAATCCGGTTCAGCTGCTTGCTGTAAATGCCGCAGCGGATGGGCAGCGTGGATGGCACCTGAGAGAGCAGCTGGAAGTGGGAGTCCAGGACATGCAGGCCTCCAGTGTCCCAGGCCACAAACTGGTTGACGTGGGAGGCATACAGGATGCCCGTCATGGGGACC